CCCCAAAACCCCAAAACCCCAAAACCCCAAAACCCCTTAACATATTTAAAACATTGAGAAATCCTTTATTATAAAAATGCAACAATTTGGCTATAACCCTCCTACTGCTTATAAGAGACTTAACGAAGTTGGTGACGGAACTTACGGTGTGGTTTACAAAGCAGAGAATACCCAGACTGGTGACATAGTAGCCCTGAAGAAAATCAAACTAGATGTAGGTTACAAGCTGAGAATAGAGTTAAAATTCAACATTTAGGTGCAAAATGAGGGAATTCCAAGCACGGCTATTAGAGAAATTGCCCTTTTAAGAGAAATTGAGCATGAAAATATTGTACAGTAAGTTTTTGTTCAGCTAGGTTTTAATGAGTTTTAGGCTCCTGGACGTTGTCAGTACAGAGACGCAGCTCCAACTAATTTTTCAGTATATGGATAGAGACTTGAAGGAGTTTATAGAACAGAAGAAGACAAGTGGCAACAAGATAGATAATCTCACAATTAAGAGCATAATGTGCCAAATTTTGAGAGGAGTGGCTGATTGCCATGCTAAGAGAATTTTGCACAGAGATATTAAACCTCAGAATATATTATTAAATGATGAAGGCGAGGTTAAAATTGCGGATTTTGGATTGGCAAGAGCCTTTCAGGTGCCAATAAGACCATACACTCATGAAGTAGTGACTCTATATTATAGAGCCCCTGAAATCCTCCTTAGTTCTGTTGAATACTCTACAGCCGTAGATATCTGGTCGGTGGGTTTAGTTTTCGCGGAACTATATAACCAAACTCCACTTCTCCAAGGAGATAGCGAAATTGACCAGATTTTTAAAGTATTTTCTCTTCTCGGACATCCGACTGAAGAAGAATGGCCTGGGGTTACAGAAATGAAAAACTATAAAAAGACTTTTCCTCAGTGGAAGCCTCAAAATCTGGCAGAAAGAGTTCCTGGTATGGATGAGCTTGGTATTGATCTTCTCTCCAAGATGCTTGCTCTTGATCCAGCTAAGAGAATCAGTGCTGATGCTGCGCTTTCTCATCCTTTCTTTGATGATTTGAACCAATTGATCGAGGAACAGAACGCCGAATTCGGATCGTAATTCTTCTTATCAATCTTTGGTAATTGCTTAGGGGTTTTGGGGTTTTGGGGTTTTGGGGTTTTGGGGTTTTGGG